GTATGACAACGACATCGCATTGTGCTTTTCACTGATAGACAATGTGAAGGGCGAAGTCTAATAATTGATACAGATGACCATCTGCCAATGACATAAGTTGAAAATAAGGACTGCACACAGCGCACAGTCATCCCAATCGAACTGTAGTTAGAAATTCACAGCTTTTGGCAACGGCATCGTACTTCACTCAGGGGGAACTTCCTTTTGATATATAACAAGATGGGCTATGTCAAGTAGTTAAAACAGCTGACCACTGTCCACTGATCATATTCACAGATTCAGAGCAGTTCCCGCAGGACCAAACACTGATCACAACAAGTGGAATGCGTCAGAACAGCGAGCGTCAAGACGGATGTACGAAACAGTCCCATTCCTTGTTGCTAACGTTTCGTTCACACAAAAACTGCACGCTGTAACATCCTCTGTGTGTAAATTTTGTCTCGAGGACGATCGATGTTTTATGGCCGAAACCTTGGCAGCAGATTGATAAATATATGCTGAAATGAACCTTTATTATCGAAGGAAAATGCACGAGTCTTACTACAGACTAGAGCAATTGTACTTGTAGGCAAAGATGGCTTTTAATAAGGGTTTCAACACAAGAATAGTACCGGCTGCCGGATATGAACAAAACTTTCAACTTTTGGAGGCGAGCGAACAACTGAAAGTGCTAACTACTCCATCTCTTCCAGCATCAGTCCAAAGTCCAGAACCTCTTGGAATGGTGTTTACTAAACAGATAAACAATGACGAAATGGCGTTCGATTTACCCCGTCAGTTTTCAGGTAATGCGTCTGAATTACTGTTGCAACACCAGGAGATGGTTGATCGTACCAAATCTACTTCCGAACATGGCTACTCCGTTGTCTATCGATTTCGGTCATGTAGTCACTGAAAACTTGGAATTTTCAGACAAACAGAGCAGTGTGAAAAAACAGTATCAGAACAAGTTGCAAAGTTGTAGTATATCTTTGCAAGCAGCCAAAATATCAGTCAATGATTCAGGACAAAGTTCTGTTTCACAAGGCTTCTCA